CCCCAAAACCCCAAAACCCCAAAACCCCAAAACCCCTAGTATGTGAAATAAGAGCAAATAGTAATAAAAGAAGTTCAAATTAAAAAATATATTGAATGGATTATAAATTAAAGGATGCAGAGTAATGGTTATCAAAGATTTAATCAACAGAAAAATTAAAATCAAGTTTCCAATTATTGATTGCCTGGAACCCCTGAAACAGCCAATAAAATTGTAAGATTTAATCAGCTAATTTTAAGGTTGGAAATAATGGAGGAAGTGCAATAACTATTAAAAAATCAAGTATAACAACTAACTCAGGAGCATTCAACTCTAGTAATGTCGTATAAAGATTTTATGAGGGAATTATGAACACACAAACTAATTCACTTATGTCTTAGAATATCAAGCAAGGTGAATTGAGAACTCATCTTCCGCTAAATAATATTTTGCAGGGATAGGTAATTTTGCAGTAGAAGTAGGCAGCCAACAATAACAACATCTCTTCAGATACAATAAACCATAATAATTAAAAGAATAACTCAGGGAGTATAATACTGCGAAAGACCGACATAAATAATGTCTCTAACAGTTACACCATCCAGCAGTCATCGCAAAACCTAAACAACTCAAATATAGTGAAGACCAATGATTAGCAACAGTCTTAGAAAAGTTTCAATTTGCAGAATAACATTAATATTGATCAAAGTTATACAAGATCATAGAGTTCTTATAGTAAGGGCCGGAGAATTATAAATACAAGAGGTGGCTCTTTTGGTGCTACAATTTAAGGCAAGAATTTGAGTGTGCCAAAGGAGAGCGTTGGCACTACAGGACTGAATGTATCTCAATAGAGCACTGGAAGCAACAATAATACTTATATTATGCCTTCTATAAACGGAAGCATGATTAACAGATAATATTTTAAGAGTTCCAATAATAGCTTGGTGAGCTCTAAAATTGGCTCTGTTATTCAAAGCCAAAACAATTCTATCTCTTTAATTAGTAATAATTAAGGGGGATTGCACAACAACAGTGGTGTGATAGGAATTCATAACTAGGAGAGCATTCTGAGTCAGCATAATTTCACAATATCTGATGTCCTAAATAACACAAATAATTTAAATCCTAGTAAGATAAACAATCACATTAGTAATAATGACAACAGTATTAGTCATAACAATAATAACAATAATTATCCACTGAATCAGCTGAATGCTTTTATAGACTATGGAGATTGCGTAGTTATTAACGTGAACGATGATGTTAGAAAGGTCAATAAAAACTTTAAGTGTAAGTGATTGATGCTTTTAAATCACATGCAATACTTTGAATAGTATCTTAAAGAGGAGGTTTCAGGGGAATCACTAGACATTTCAGTTCATTGTGATGTTAAAATTTTTGAGTGGTTAATCAAGTACGTTGACTATCAGTTTAACTATAGGAATTATAACTCCTAGTATCCTCTTTATAAATAGAACTATATTGTAATAAGTAATTCCACTACAACAGATGTCTCGATACATTAAAACAACAACTTTCTTAACACTAAAACTCCAGACTTGGAGGTTAAGAATTGCATCTCGATTTTAATATCAGCAGATTTCCTTAAGATATACCAACTGGTAGATGAGGCTTGCGAATACGTAGCTAGAAATCTACCAGAAATCGTTTAACTTAATATAGATATGAGTTGCATGAATGAGTGATTGATTAAAAACATTTCAAGCAAGGTAAAAATAGAGGACTTGGATAATCTGATTGATACTAAGGATAAACTCACATCCAAAATATTTATGAAGAAAACTGATGCACTGGTTTCTGATCAAGAGAATAAGTTCATGCTTTAGATGTGCCAATATTGCAAAAAGTTGTATTCTCTAGAATCATAAGACAAACTAGTATGTACTAAAGCTAAAATATTCATAGACTGTTACGGATGTGTTATAGCAAAACACATATCAGACTGAGCATTTGATTTTAAGAAATTTCTGCTCTATTTAATGGAGAAGCAATTATTCACCTGGAAACAAATTTACTGGAGATTGTTTGCATGGGGAAATGTACTAGAAAATAATTGCTAAGATTGTGGAGAATTTTTCGACATGGCCCACATTCTCGATTGTAGATATCATCCTGGGATCGCAGCTTTTCCTTATGACTCGAATCTGGGAGTTTACTAATGCTGTTAAAAGAAGGCACTCAGGTTTGAGATCCATGCAAAAGGCAAAGGATGCTAGTCGAAATAACATAATATACTATCCTTCTATTAAAACCAAAATGAGATTAGTTCTATGTAAAGAGATGTAAGCACTTCTCAATTTTCCTCATTTTCCAAATTTTAACATAAATTCTATAGTTACTGAATCAGATCATGATGAGAAAGGAATTCACATAAGAGCCTACTAAGGAGGATACCAAAATAAAACCGAGTTTCTAAGGTGCTATCAGAAGATATGTTCAGGAGCATAAAGACTAGCTATTTCTAGTTGACGAGGATGAGGATTCTGCTGTTGAGTAGCAATTTGAAGATTTGCTTGATAGGAATGAAGAAAGTGTGAGCAAAAATAATTAGTCTGTATTCAATCATAACGCATCTATCGGAAGCATTCCCAATGAGATTAGAGAATCTAGTCCAAGCCCTGTAAGATTACCTATCTTTGATGATATTTACCAATAGGATACATTCACTAATAGACCTTAATCGAATAGAATTATTCTTTAGCCAGCTGTAAGATAAAGCGCCCCAAACTAAATTACTGCTATCAGACAGAATAAAGGATAATCTTAGCACCCCACTTTTTCCATAAAAAAATAAAATACACCATCTGTAAATCCTAAGAATCTAAGCTCCTAGATTATCACTACTGCTCAGAAGAATTCATCTTAGTAAATTCGTAAGGACATCTCAAGAGACACTCCTGAGGAACTGAACATTGATTTATAATCAAGCTTTGCTCCTTCACCTACTAAATTATCCCCAAAGAATAACTAAACATAATCTACTTCATAGTTCTCAAAAAAGAAAAAAATGATCAAAATAGATTGCACTAATATGTCTAAGATTCAGATAAAGTAAATGCGGCAAGATACTCTTAGAACAACGGACAGGCTTACCATGCATGACTTAATAGGGTAACTCCAAAAGCTGAGAGGCAGTGAAAAACCAATAAATTAGGCTGATTATAGTGTCGAGAGACCAAATCAAAATATAGCGATGGAAAGAGTTACCATAAGAAAACCCGAGAAAAAAATAGTCATACAAAAAAGGAAAATAATGAGATGGGGTAATCAGTCCTAATGATCAATGAATAATTTTTATAAAGGGATAGCAATGAGAATTAACCCTTAATTAGACATAGTCAAGATGCTGCTATCTTAGTCATCTCAGCACTTTAAATACTACACATCTATCTAATGGTTTGTACAGTCTATGAAATATTAAAAGGTTATTTAATTTAAATATCGAGTTATTTATAGAGTCAATTTAGACTTAATCATCATTACTCAAGTGTGCTGGGGTTTTGGGGTTTTGGGGTTTTGGGG